CAACAGTGGACAAAAGCAAAAGAAGCAAAATAGGAAAAAAATATTCTGACCCAATAGATTATTTAATCACGCTTATTATATTACAGGCAGACTAACATTGACCCTAAAATTTATCCTTACTAAGATGTAATTCAGGTAAAGAAAAGCAAACTTGGAAATAGCAGAAAATAAATTATAAAAATATAATAATGATGGAACTAATACAGATAAGGCTCAGGCACAATGACCTTCCTTTTTCATTTGATGTATTAATCAAAGTGAATATCATTTAATGGCTTCATCAGCTTTATCTCCAACATACTCTTGGTGTCAATCAGATCAATGTTCTTTCATATATCCTGTTTAATTCATTAAACAGGCAATTAAATCAGCATTTGAGTGTTCACATATCCATAGTTGGCGATGTTGGAGATCGGAACTTCATAAAATCATACAGATACAAACAAAACGGGAGGAAAAACAATAACGCTCTGATAGATAGTTATCAGGAAATGATAAAAGACCCAGCCAAGGTCTGAAAATCATCTCCACTTGTACATGAAATTCCCCACAGAGTAATGCAGCCCCTCTACATCAACAGGCTCCTCAATAAAAGAGCATGCCATGTTTAAAAAACGAGCATCTTATATAGGGTGAATGAATGCTGAAATGAAACTGGGTTTCTGGCACCATGAGAGGAAAGTGGAAGAGAGAAACTTAGTGTTTTCTGAACAAAACCGGTTTCTAACCAAGTTAGGTTCAGAGGGTTTAAATTTACGCTCCAATGCTATATCATCTTGATGTGATAGGACAATACAGAAACTGGGTTCTGACAATGCTTGTTCGCTTGTTAGTGAGAAACTCCATCTGAAATCTAGCCATTCAGCGAGCCGGTCTGCCAAGACATCAGTTTGTGGGAGAGATAATCAGTTAGGCAACAATTATACAACCACTGAGTCATTCGTAGGGTCAGCCAATCAGTCCACTCGTTAATGAGTTGGTGAGGCATGTCACCAGTCAGTCAGCCATGCAGCTAGCCAGTTAGTCCATCTGCTGGGTTTCAGTGTAGCCAAATATGTCTTTTTTGTATATTTTCAGAGCTGAACAGGCAGATGTGTGTTGCCTGTGAGTGTGCGCTGGTGAAACAGAAAGAGAGAAAGCAAAGAGTACATTTAGTTACTTAATGCATATATGGCACGGCATGCAGCACAGTGTGTACATTTGTGTATCTGAGTATACGTCTGTGCAGACCACCCATAGGCCTAGAGCCTCTCTGGGGGAGGCCTGGACCTGGATTAATTATGGCCTATGTATGAGGTGGTTTTGTGGCAGGTTGGGGGTGGGGTGGTGGGGATGGGGTTGTTACACCTGCAAACTCCGTCATTTCAAACCTTAAGCCAGCCTCCCTGACATGAAGCGGTAGGTATGTTGGCCAGAGTGAAATACTCCCTGCTTTCCCCCCCTTCAGGCCCGTGGGAGAAATCCAGCACATGTGGTTCAAATACTTATTTAAACAGAAGTGAAGAAATGTCAAGAAAGAAACCCAGATATGTTATAAGGAATCAGAAAATTCTCGCTCTCCAGCTGGAAAGTGTAGCAAGAGCAATTTTCTAAGAAATGCAGGCGGTCCCCTTCTGTGTAGGTATAGAATAAAAGCTGCCCTTTACTGGGACCCCAGAAGACATAAACGGCGCTTCAATCTCCTCTCATGGCAGTGGGTCCTTTGGTGTTACCGAGGGTTTGAGGCGTTTTACCTTACGCCCATGCCGATAAATCTGTCACCTGATGGAATCCGTCTCCTGGTCCAGAGTCGGAGACAACAAATTGTGGCTTTAGGTTAGGGTGGAGGGGGGTTAAAGAGTGAGGAGGAAGAGGAAAGGATGAAGGGAAAAGGAGAAAGAGTAAAGAGAGCGAGGGAGAGAGAAGTGACCTGTCAGCCCAGCCCATTTATCATCGGGACAAAATGGACGCGTCCGTTCTTTTCCGCTGACCAGCCAAAACACCCTGTGGTAAGCAAGTTTTAAGGTGACTTGTAAGTGTTTGTCATATGATTCCTTCTTCTCTTTTGCTGCCTTTTGCTTGACCTCATCAACATTGCCTAAATTTACTTTTTCCCTCTCTTTTCCACAATGCTTTATTGATAAAAGCACACAGAGTCCACGCTCCTTCAGCTCTCATCTCCAACAGAATGGATAAGTTGGCTCTTGCATCGTCTCCCATGGCATCACTATTTAAGACCACATGGTGGGTTGGAAATATGGTGAGGTTATTGGAGATTGGCACTCACGTAGAGTCAGAATGGTCGTGTGTGGTATTTATAGAACGCAGTGAGACGGCCGTTCTTAATTATTATTTTTTCATATACAGCAGCGGGCCTCATCATCTGACGTTGTCCAGTTGTGTGTAGCTAATACAAGTTGGCACGCAGTGGACCACATTAATGAGGACCTCCAGTTGGAGCGGTCAGGTAGAGTCAGGCCTGTGGTGGCCAGGAAGCTGACAGATCTGTCCTCTGGAGAAAATGGTGAGCCAGTTTTGGTTTGGCAAGAATGTGCGTGAGTGTGTGTGGGAGTGTGCATGTTTTCATATTGAGACACAAAACACAAACAAATGAAAACACAGAAATGAAAACCATCTTCAAGTTATTATAGATACAAAATCAAACCTTTGAAGGCATACATAGAAACTTGCAATAACAAGGAAATTGTAATGTACAAAGCGGACCCATGCAAAAAACAACACAACTCCTAAACTTTAAGCCTTGATGAAACATACGTGAAAAATGATCCCTGCTTGATGAGCACAGTGATGTGCTGATTGTCGCTGCCCACCTTACCCTGATCTCTCATTTGTTTGGATCAACAGGAGCCATATGCCAGACTACGTCACTCATCAGAAATCATGATCCTGATGAAAGTGTGATGGGACGGATGTCTTTGCTGAGCACTGTGTACATAAAATATATCATGGTAAGTTTATGGGAAAATACATTGGATTTTTGTTGTTGGATGTTTTGCTGTTGTATCTCAGCAAAGGGTTCTACTAGTGAACAGTAAGATAAAATAAGACAAGATATTCTTTTATTAGTCCCACACGCGATATATATTTTTTTGTGGGACGGTAGAGGAAAGTCCCGCCTTCTTCGCCTCTGATTGGCTAGAAAAGCTGGAAACGTCATCACACGCTCAAGCCAAACGTGGGCTGTCGGCTCTGTACATCAAACAGAACATTACAGAACATTATCGCACTTCTGAATCTCCTAACCCTAGCCCTAACCCAACAGATGATGACGTTTCACAGCCATTAGGAACAACCAATCAGAGCCCATCACTTCTAGGCGATCAGAGGCAAAGGAGGATGGGACCACACGCGGGGTAAATGTCAAATTCCAAATAAATGGACTACATTAATAAGGCCACTCAAAGTGCTTCTCCTGCATCCTCTCATTTACTGACACATTCATACACTAATAGTAGATACCGCCATGCAACACGCTAATAAGTACTAAATAATCCCAGTCACACACATTCCTGGATTCATGGGGCAATTTGAGGATTCATAGTTTAATGATAGGCTTTAGGTACATAAAAGTTTTACTGCTGCTGAGTTTCCACCATCATAGATTTGAGTATCAGCTAGATGAAACCTTCTTAGATACACTCTTTCGTTAATGCTGCAGAATTTCTTTTGGGTCTTTGTACCTGGTGAATAATGCGCTGCATGTACTTAATGTACAGTCAGGATTCTGAATGCAAACGCTTTGCATTGAAGGATGAAAGCTTCGTACAAGCCTAAAGCAAACTATCTGAATTGCATACACTTCCCAACAATATGCCATACTGTATATCTCCATTCATGTGCAATGTGTGATGACTGTTAAGCTCCAGTGATGGCCTGTCAATAAGCAGCGTGGGCAAGAAATAAAGAGATGCCCCCACCTTTCCCCAATAGGCAGCAACATAAAGAGAGGCGGGGTGGTGTTGAGGGAGGGGTGAGCTTATAGATCATAGTAACAGCCAATAATAAATGGATCATGCTTCTATGTTTTTAAAGCCAGTGGCAGCTGTATTGAATGGGAAACCTTGTGTGGGGGAGAAAATAGAGGTTTATTGATCAGAGACAGCATGTCGGATGGAGTGGTTGCAGAGGGGAAGGGTGGGGTGGGGGTGGGTGGGGGGGGTTGAGGCCCGTCGACCTCCAGGAAAATGATGTCCTCTCTGAGTTTTCTATTTCATAGACAACTAACCCCCCCCCTACACCCTTCCACGCACACTTCAGGTTGGCCACACGCCCCTGGCCCCTGACACACACACGCAAACTCACACACACAAGCGTTTTTCTTTTTGAATAGATGGGTGGATAATGAGGAGGCCTTTAAGCTGTGGCTGCGTGTAACCACAGCAACACTGGATTCAGATGTTTGTGTTAAAGGTGAGGTCGAACAGAGATATTTTAGAACTCGTTTTTGTTGTTTTTCTTGTGGTCAAACGGTGCCACAGAGTACAAAAGTAAGTGAAAACTTCCACTGGGAGAAAAAAAAAAAGATTATTGTCTGTAAGTTCAGAGAGGAACACCAGACTTGTTCCTTTTTCATTCCTCAGCTTTGGGAGTTTGTCAACTTTTCAGGAAAAATGATTCTGATACTAAATAACCAACACAGTCCATGAAAGGAATGCTGCCTCACAGCTAATAAACCAGCGTTTGGTCAGGAGTGTTGAATGGTGTTATCAGCAAAATCCAACCAGTACCAGTATGATCGCGACTCTTAATTTTAACATATTTATCGACACATTTGCCATTTTTAAAAAAATATAGATAACATAGTTAATCCATAATGGCCCATCCTTCATCTTCATACGGTTTCACTTTCTGTAAAATTCATTTCCACTTAACTTTTTTATTGTTTAATTTGACTAAGATTCGCTCCAAATCCCTGACAAAAACACTGTTAAAGAGGCGGACAACTCTATCAGAGTTCTGCACGCCCTCTCCAACTTTCTTTGATTGAAGAAATGGAAGGCGCCACTCTCCTTCCATAAAACATTTGACACACTGATGGTGTGGTGGCTATTTGATTTGCAGAAATGTACGTATTTGTTTTCTCAGTTGCCCACTCCAAGCTCAAATTCCGAAAAGGATTTTCTCTCATTTGTATGTCCTTTCTTTCCCTCGTATTATTTTTCAATCCTTTTCTTTCTCTCTCCCGCTCCAAAACCCCAGTCGCATGCGGACTGGGTTGTCGACCAATTTAAACAGCGAGGTTTTCAGCAGCTAAACGCCGGCTAGCAGGAGTGCTGTGGTCTCTGCAGTACTTTGTCTGTGGCCACACAATTAAGGATTTAGGTGTGGCGATAGGAAGAATGTGGAAATCGGATCCTGGCAGCCCACACCCTACTAACTCTCTGTTTCTTACTGGCCATTTTTCTTTTTCTTTAACTTCACCATGTTTCTCCTCTTCCTGAATGTTGAAGTCTTCATCCCTCTCCAGCTTTTCTCCTCCCTTTATTTATCTTTTCCTCATACTTTTCTGTTTGACTTCCTCCCTCACGTCTCTCTCATATTCCGTTCACCCTGATGCCTCTGTTACCCTCCTTAACTCCATTTATTTGTTTCATATTACAGCATCATTGCCTCTTCATTCATTCATCACAACCCCCCTACCATCCCCTCACTCTTCCTCTCCCCTGACGGGATCATCAGTTTATTGAACTCTGCTGTATTTCCCCAAAAGTTGAACAATAAATGTTGTGGGGAGAGTGGGGCGTCATGATTACGCAGCTACACTTAAGATTGAAACACACAGAGATGTAGAAATAGAAATAACTGCACTGTTTTGGCTGACTTTCGAATATTTTTATACATTTCTTCAGGGAGTCAGGGCATAAAACAGGTTTCATCTTTCAGGGTTTAATTTCTTATATCCTTGGGTCGGGCTGCCAAGTCTGGCTGCATCATAAAATCACTTGCCAAACTTTTCATTTTATGCCAAGTGAAATGAAGGGAATGAATGTTTTTATGTTGCTTTTTGTTAAGTTTTTGCTCTATGATTGTCTGCGCCCAATCTTACCAAGTACGCGCACACACTTTAACAAGCCATCTGTAGCCTGCAATAGCAATGGGAACCTATCCATCAAACAGGACCTCATTGGGGCCTTCCTGTTATATATAAGACACCCTGTGTTTGAACGGATGTAGGTTGCTTGCTTAAACTCATGAGGGTTTGCAAAAGTAAACAATACACGACTCAAAAGTTTAAGGAACACAATTTTACAATGACACACCTGGTCTGCTATTAAAGTTATATTTTTAAAGTAATAGGATATTTCTGCGGGGACTGTGATTGCAGGTTGTCTCCTGTCTGAACAAATTTATCCATGCACCACGTATTACACTAGTTAAATCTGTTTAGGATTATAAACCTTTATAAAAATTTCCATTTCATTACTTCATCACACAGAAGACCTCCATGCATATGTCTACCTCTGGTATCCACCTTGACCAGGTATCCTCTTTTGCTTTTTCCTTTATCCATCTACAGAGCTGTTCCCATTTTCTGAGGGAAGGTCCTGCAGACCTTTCACAACCACCTGCAAAGGTAAAGATCGATTTTTTTAAAATTTGTTATTTCATTTTGTCGTCATCATTTTCTTCCGCTTATCCGGGTCCAGGTCACAGGGGCAGCAGCTTCAGGAGGGAAGCCCAGACGGCCCTTACCCCGGCCACTTCCACCAGCTCCTCCGGGGGATTCCCAGGCGCTACCATGCCAGACGAGAGATATAATCCCTCCACCTGGTCCTGGGCCGGCCACAAGGTCTCCTCCCACTGTAACATGTCTGACGACCTCGAACAGGAGGCGTCAAGAAGGCATCCTAACTAGATGCCCGAGCCACCTCAGCTGACTCCAGCGGCTCTACCCTGAGTGCTTCCCGAGTGTCGAGCGCCTTACCCTATCTCTAAGGCTGAACCCGGCCACCCTGCGAAGGAAACCCATTTCGGCCACTTGTATCCCTGATCTCGTTCTTTCGATCATTACCCAAAGTTCATGACCCTAGGTGAGGGTCGGCACATAGATCGACCGGTAAGTCGAGAGTCTCGCCTATTATTTCATTCATGTTTTTTTTCGACCGTTTATTTTATTTCTGTTTGTGAAGTTTTTTAATGTATTGTCTGTGTCCTCTAATGACTCCAGGTGGGCTTGTAAATATGAGCCTGCAGTCTCTCTGTCCCATACCTTCATGTCAACCTTCTGTCTGTTCATAAAATGAATTGCATGAATTCCAGACACCCAGCAGTTTTCTTGTGTGGGATCTCACCTGGATGTTTTTGGGCTCTAAAGATGCCACAGAAGTAGGTGTGGTACTCTTGTCTGTCAATATCATCAACGATATCTGCTGCTAAAGTCTAAGAGACTCTACTGACCTGTATGAGGTCTGCCACTAGACCTGACAGGTCCACAGCTGGAGCCTGGCAAACATCTTGTCCTGGTTTCTAGTCAGAGGTCTGGCAGACACCTTTTCCTGGTCCCTATACCAAGGTTTGACCAGACCCATTGCTGATCAGATCCTCTTCTCAGACTGTCACCTTGTTGTGAGTCTGGTGCCCGGTCACCACAGAGACTCAACACTACAGAGCTGTCACTGGACCTGTCTGGTTCCAAGTTCAGTATGACCTCAAGGTCAAATTAATTCTCCTGAATGTCCCATTACAGTCTGTCATCTTTTCCACTTTCCATTTTTCAACATTTACTTCTGGAGCTGACTACAACCTTTACTCACCTTAGTCCTGCTTTAAGAGTTTTGATGGTAAAAACTTCAAATAGATGAATGGCCTGTCTTGTAGGAAATTTTTTGATGATTGCTAAAATATCGAGTGATCTCTGGTGCAATTTATAGATGTTTTGCATTATTTTTATGATGCTACAATACAAAGTGACACAAAGATAACATGAGAACTGTATGTGGTTATTGTCTTTCTCCCTTATACTTTATTCAGTCTTACAAACATATAATGTGTACACAAACTCATAATATTTAGACACACATTTCAGTGGCTCGAATTGTCTAGAGCAGAATTCTTCTTTTCCATCACTTTCTGATGAATGTTTCCGGGAAGAAGCAATCCAAAAGAAAAATTCAGCATAGACCAACAAACTGCACAAGCTATGACTTATCAAACCTACAACAAGACCACTGAGCCTTTTGACCCATAAACTTTCCCTATTATCCCCCAGACTGTCACCAACTTATGATCCATGCTCCATAAAACCCCTTCATTCATCACCTCCAATTAAATCAATTATCATTCCTGGGATTGGATTCCGACAAATCACAGTGGTCGATGGGCAGGTAGACTCGGGCCAGCGGGGGCATTTGGACAGGCAAAATGAGACAGCGGACAGATAGAGTCATCCTTCATGCTAAGTGGGATTGTCCTGACGCAGGCTGAGATAGACCCCGAGGTGTAATGGACCCCTTTGCCTTGACTTCCTCTGGCCTCAGCAACGGCGTATGGTAGAAAGCAGACCTGGGTCAAACAAGCGTCTGAACAGTTTTGAGCCAAAGTGAAATAGCTGCCTTTAGAAGATTACAAAATGATTGATGGCTCAAATAATTTCAGCATAAATTATTTTTTAAAGCAGCAGTAAAAAGTTCTTAGTTTCTGTTTTATAAATTAAGTAAGAATGCGGAGATTGATTTTTCTCACTTGATACTGATAACCTGGCTGATACAGGTAAGATAACCAATACATACTGTATATATTTATTTGCAATTTTGTAATTTAAAAAGAACATTTCTGACTTTTCAATTGTCATTCAGTATCACATTATGTTGAGATATGCCTTCAGCTGGCAAAACTCGTTTTCTCTTTGAAAAGTTTGGTCAGTAAGTGCTTTAAACTCAGAGAGAAGTCCATTTATCTACAACTTTTCAGGTGCCTCAAAAGATTTTTGTTTTAAAACTTGAGGACTTATGCTGCGTTCGAGTTACCTCGGGAGTCAGATGTTGGAGCTGAAAATGACGTCACATCCGAGTTACCAGCATTTCAGTTACCAAGTCAGAAAAAAGCAAAATCTACGAAAGATTTTTTAATGTGTGCCTTGTCCGAATATAACAAGGACAAGGCAAGCGCTAAAGTAACTTTCGTAGATGTAACCATCTTGTTTCCACCTCTGATTTTACTTTTTTTCTGACTGGTAACCAAAATGCTGGGAACTTGGGTGTGACATCATTTTCAGCTCCGACATCGGACTTCCGAGGTAACTCGAACGCAGCATTATTTTCTGTTCTTGTAATTCTTGTGGTACCTTTTACAAACAGCAATCGTGTCAGTTTCCTCTTGTGAAGTGCAAAATATCTGTAGAGGTATGTTTAAATTGGTTTATAATCACCTCAATAAAGACATAATTTTATCTGTGTTAACTCAGAATAAGCCTTTTAAGCAGCTGTCCACTCCCACAGAGGCCACCATCTTATGTCTCCATTGACAAATTGGGAGACACAGAAGATGTAGAGTTTGACCTGTAGCTATTGTCAGAGATTCTCATTTCAACCTACTGTACTTTTAACAAGAAAAACTGGTGTTCAAAGGGCCCAATGGACCGAGAAGTGCCTAAACTACAAAATCAGAGATCGAACTCTTTCTTCTTGCCTTAGAGTTTTTTTAAATTAATTAATTAATTAACTTTTATTTGACTTCAACATTTGATTTGAACTTATTTACACTCACAATTGAACTCAACCACATGTTGAAATCTCTGAAAAACAACATTAGAAAAAATATCTAAACTTTCAGGTCAACATCTATGAAATTATTTACAAACTTCCCACTACAGTCCCTGCAATACTGTATTAAACATGGTCTGATCCATTGCTCCTTTAACATCAACCTAGCCATGACCCATTGCCCAGAGTTGGTATCGACCTATTTACAAACTCTAATTCCTGTCCACTATCATGAAAACTTGTTGCTGATAAACTTGTTGCACTTATTTAACTAAAAAAAGAGTCTTGTCTTGTTTATAGTCACAGCACATTATGTGTATCAGAGAACTTTCTCTTACTTGTTGATAATCTGGGTGTAAAACTATATTTTAATGTCACCTAAAAAAATGTTTAGGTCACTCTATAACAACATTTATAGAGAGAAGAGGCAGTGCATCACTGTTTATAAAGCCACTGGATCAAAACAAGAAAAATTGCCTCTGAGTGCCATTCAGAAACATGCCTGCCTCACTGTCATATATTACATGATGGTCGATAGCATCCCAGTGGACATAGGCTACCTAAAGTTCCATCTAGTTTACTGTACCAGCTTAATTTGACATATCCACCCCATTAATGAAAACATAAACATCATTTTTGAACCATAAAATAATCTATGAATACGATTAAACTGGCACAAATGTCCATGAATGTTCCTTTTATATTTTTCTAAAGCCACTGATTGCTTTCATGTTGCTTATGCCATGGCATTCGTTAAAAATTAATGCGATTTTACCATCCTGAAAATGTGAATATGGATTCATAATTTTGGTCCAACAGCAACTCCTCTCAGGAACAATGACAAGGTATAGAGGGAGGACAAAAACGGTAGACCTTGGTCTTCAAATGCTGTCATGGGAAATACTGAACAGGGAACAGGCACACTAAAAGAGGAGATGAGAACACAAGGGGTAAAAGGGATTTCCTGAGGCAACGGTATCAATACATTTAACATGTCCTCCCTGTTTTACTATTGCAGCACTGGGTTCCCACCCTAACCCCCAACATAAAGCACATCATCGCATCCTTCCTTTCCTCGGCAGCTTGCAAAGATGTTGACGTACGTTGGTTTGGTCTCAAGGATGGGAATAACTGCCACATGGTGAGTCTCATCTTCTTCAAACCTGCATCATGTATAAAAGAAAAAGAAAGAAAAGGCACCATAATAACCTCAGGGCTACAAAACGCAAGGCCGTTTCATGTCAAAGTAACATGTTATCCAGACAGACTCAAGAAAGTTTCAGTGCCGTCTATTCATTTAAGATTTGATAGAGTACCAAAGCAATTTCTGTAGCTCTGATTCATGGCTTGAATATGTCTTACAATGTCAGTTTTTAAAGTGAAAACGCTGTAGAATACTTTTATTTGGTTTAATGGTCATAATGTTTTTATGAGGTCTTCACACAGGAACACAGCTTAAACTTTTATCCCTCTGGCAGCCCCCCAAAAACCATATTGCATCTTATATGCAGGTGTGACAAGTAGAAACAGACTCATCTAACATTTTGACTTTACTCTGGCTGTTTCTGAGAGACCGAACAGTGCATTAAACTGAGGAAAATACACACATTGCACGATCATTTTTTGTTATATTTTCAGTTTGTCCGTTTGGAGATGTTATTTTCCAGCAGCTTGCGAAACCTTTCAGAGGAAGGATTGACCAATATTGGGTCGTATTACATGATTACGATGATGCCTTCATCCACATATGTCATTAAAATAGTCCATCGTCTTACTCAGGGAGTTTTACTAAGAGTTACTTTTTATTAGCATATTACCAAAGCAAATACGACCATTAGTGATGAGATTAACTATTTTTTATATCATCATTTAAACCCTGGAAGATAAGCAGGAGTAGCTGAAGAAACAATCATGAAATTACATTTTCCACTTAGAATATTTACATTAAAAGATAAATTTAACTGTCAAATGTTAAAAAAAAAAGGTTGACACTAATCAAGCATGTAGCGGAGAAGATAAGTTAAGACTCCTTTGACTACAGGAGTCACCAAAATTGGTTCAACCTGAAAGTTCCTCATATAGGAGCTTAAAAAAACTTTCACCCCTCTTTAGTCTCAAACATCTGTTTCTACCAGGCAATGAGAATAAATTTCCAGGATAAAACCCTCTCAAATCAACAGCAAACTTTGACCATTCACAGACATGTTAATGACTTGGGGATGATTTTTCATGGGTTTAAAGCACTTGATGTTTGTAATTTTTCCCATGCATTGGTTGTAAAAAGTTTCTGTTCTTGGCCAGTATGACAGAGAGGGAGAGCGGGGAAAGAGAGACGGAAGAGAGAGAGACGGACAGAGAGCATGAGGGGAAGAGAGCGAGAGAGAGCGAGAGAGAGAGGAAAGAAAGAAAAGGGAGGGAGATTGAGGTTGAGGCCTGCGGTGGATTGTGGGCTGGGGCTGCTGCTGTCTCAGCATAGTCAGCCGGCTGGTCTAGCCTGAGGTGATATGTTTTCCTCAGGAAATATCTGTGGAGGCTAGTGGGTCTAGTACTGGGAGCGCTGCCGGCTGTGAGCGGCCGGGACGGGTGGGGGTTGGGGGTAGCACTGCTGAAGGCTGAGAGCAGCCCCAGGAAAGACTCTCCAGGGGGTAAAGACAGGAGTGAGGCAGGCTGAGCCTCAGTGCTCCATCATGACGGGGCTCTGATGATGTTTTACACAGGGTGTAGATTCTGCAGGTGCTGAGTGCTGATTAAACAAACAGGGTACTCGTATGTGTTCCAGCATATTTTACTTGTTAAGATTTTGGCCAACAGAACTGCTTTGAAAGAGTTATGTTCTGCAATTTACCACAGAGCCAAAATGTCAGACATGAACATACATCATACATTTTTTTAATTCAATACATGCATCTACAGCAAAGAGCCAAAAAATTGCAGATTTTTACAAGATGTCCTATTGAACAACCGTGTTCTCTCATGCACAAGGGTCTTGAAACAAACTCTGCATATAAACATTCGAGTAAGCTTTTAAAAAAGTAAGGCAAGAATGTTAGATTAAATTTGTATACATGTTTCTGAGCTCTATCAAAGACTTCATACCAAAGTGGAACAAAAAACAAACTGCTCCAGCTATGCTTGGTCAATTCCCAATCAACAGAAATAAACTTTCGACCATTCAGATTTGAGGATATGAAGGTTACCATGTTCATGTCTCTTTTAAATTGTTTTTAATACCACAATAACAAGAACTCTTCAATCTGTGTGCATGTTATGATTTCTCTTTGAAATGATTCATTACAAATTCATTTTCAATGCTGCAATTTGCGTGCGCTTGCAAAATTAATCATAACCAACTTAAAAAGAAGTTAACCCAAACTCTTGGTTGACAAAATGAGCATCCAATTACAGTATTAATTAGGATTAAGAGCCACTGAACAATAAATGTCTGATGATGGTTTGTTTTCATTTTAAATGATGTGCAACACTCCGCTCCAGGGGTAATTTGAAAGATTCATTTCATCTGATGAGCCAGAAGATCCGCAGTATCTGCTACAGTTATTTTCCTGTGTCTGTGATGTCAGTGTTTTCCCAGGAAGTATTTAAATGGTTTATTATTAACAATCCTCCCTTTAGCATACACACCCAATCATTCTTACAAGGAATGACCAGAGCAGAGAGGTGCTCAAGACTGGGGAAGGAAACTCATGTTCAGCACTCTGGAGTCTCAGAAACACGCCTGTGCTGCAATTTCATCTGTACAATGAGTATGTTTATGTGAGTACAGGTGTGTGAAATGAACATGTTTGTGTAAGTGTGTATCCTGTAATCCCTTCCCTGAGCAGGAAAACTTCCAGGATCCCAGTAGGCTGATCACAGAGGGATAGGATGGGAGATTAAGCCTGGATTTCCATGTTTCAAACTTCATCAAAAAGCCAGCACAGAGGAGGGAACAGGATGCGTGTTGAAAGTAGCTCTCACATATACAAATAGATACAGCCACAACTACACACAGACGTATGTATGTATGTAGAAATATCCTCAAATGAGCAGTACTGTACACATCGTCAAGGAAGTAGTCTGTGTTTGCAATCTGGGACATAATCACAAGTTTTTCAGGGTATAAAAACCATGTGAGGTGTTGTACATTTTTTCCAAGGTCACCCTGGACACTAGAAATATGTGTCCATCATGATCTGTTAGTTGGCGGAGATGATATTTTACTGTACAAAGACCAGGTGCCTCACGATGTGCAGTCTGTGGCTTGTGATTACAATCTCAACATGCAGTAATTATGTTTCAACTGATATATTGCAAGACGATCGTATGATGAAACACCACAATGTCTGATGAACTAAAGAAACAAAATGTAGAAGACAAGCACAAGGTAACCATACTGTATATGCTTTTACAGTGGTGTAAAAATACATATCAAAAAAAGATAAAGTGCAAGTACAAGTACACATTTTGATGCTTATTTTCATGCAAAAACTTGGAAACATGATACAGTTGTTTTTATGTTCACCTGTAGAACTTAACCTGTAACAGCTGCTTTTTTTTCCTTTTTGCTGTGATTGCAATTATTCCGACTGGCCTATTTGAGTCAGCCTCCATTCCCCCATAACCTTTAGTAAAACCTTTCACACTACAAACAGTAAAAATGTACGCAGTTATGGTTCTTCATCTACCTCTTAAACTTTGAATCAGGAACATTTATTTTGGTGAATAGCGTGTTTTGTTTTGTTTTGTTTTGTCGTGTTTTTGTTTGAACAAAAATGTGCGAATTACCACCATTTCTTAAGTTTTCATCTGTGTCTGTGTGCTCAGATCAGCAGGCTCATAGAAATTGTGACTCAGTTATTATGTGTTCGGCAGCATTCCTCGAAATTCTTGTCTCAGTGTATCTGGAAGTGTATTTCAAGTATGCAACAAAGGCTTCATTACTTATTTCTGCTTGGATCTGTGTTGCCGGACCAGTTCCTCCTACTTGTATCTCAGGAAGAGATAGAAAGTCAAGGTCCAGTCATGATCGATGAGCTTCTGTGTTCAGAGGAAGCAACAAGTGTGTGAACACGAGTGTGTGTGTGTGCATGGTGTGGAGGGAAAGGGGGACAGTTATTTTGGAACTATCCAAGACGGATATGGGACCAAACCCAGAGAGGATGCAGATATGGTTAACAGATATAGTGAACTCACACACACACACACACACACACACACACACACACACACACACACACACACACACACACACACACACACACACACACACACACACACATGCACACTTCACTATGTGATGAAAAAAAAATTGACACCAGATTTTGATTGGGTTGTGGTGTTACTTTGCAAACAATGACCACTGACCCACACACAGACACATAGACACAAACAATACCATGAAAGATGTCTGTGTTTTAAACAAAGTTATGGGGCAGCAGGCCTGTATAGAACTGATAATGAAAAGTAAAGGAAATGTTTTAAAGGGATATTCCTGTGTAAAATTAATTTAGGGCCAAACACACCAGAACACCGAGTTAGACACCCCCTCCAGAAATGAATGTTGCCGACTGCTTGCTTCTCCAGTTATACCAACTTTAGTAACGGCTGCACGATAGCAATACACAGCGGTCTGACGAGCCATAAACAAACCTCAACTAAAACGCCACTCTATAGCCACAAATAATGCTCAGAACAGCACCTAACCTCATTAACAGTACATATAAGGTCCCAGCCACAGCACTAGCCACCAAACATCTTTTTAGTTTTGCCTGATTTCTTTAGCACAGAGACTAAACACAACTCACCTACTCTCTTCCAGCAGCCGCTTGTTTGTAGCGAGACCTCAGGCCAGTCCATTACGGACTGCAGCGGGGTGACGCAGCTCAAGGAAGAACATTTCATATCAAAGTGTTAGACGATTATTGTTCATGGCTTATTGTTGTTTTTTGAACTTTATTTATTTGCTTTTCTTACTTTCTACACACAGTAAAAGTTTCCCTTCTTTGACCCAGACTAAAACTTTTGATAAAGACACATATTTGCACAAGATTCATATGATTCGTTTCCCTTTCTATTACAGTGATGTTGCTTGGTACTGCATGTGTCCCAATCTGAAATGATCCATTCATCCCTAATTTTCCCAGTATGCAGAATGATATACTGTGAACCCTCAGTGGAGGAGGGGTTCAGCCATCACTCAATGATTTCTCAATGGCCCATATTTTTTTAGGTCATTAAAAGCAGTATAAACAAATATAATCCACCATCGGCTATCTGTTTTGGTTAGTGAAAGTGCTTGTAACAGAGACCTTGAACAGGTATGAATGAATGTTAACCCTGCTAGCCCCAGTTATGCTATTTAAACCTCCTCTGTGTTCTTCAGAGCTTTTCTCAGGGGGCGAGAGTGTAACAAATAGTGTGTTGGTGTTCACAGAGAGAAACTAATGCACCCACTCTCTTTTTTTAGGTACTCAGACATGTTCTGCTCCTGGTAACCAATGATCAACTTGATGAGGCGGGACTGGCCATCCAGGTGACCAGGAAAGAGGGTGCTGGCCAGACGATCATCACAGAGACACAGAGGTCCATCTTTAGGTCAGTTGGCTTTGTGGTTGCTGCTTTTTAACCATGTCATGTTTTTGTTTTGGGATGCTAGCACAAGTTACAGAACAATCAGATGCAAAATAATCGTTAAAGCACATTGATATATCATTGAATTGTGGGTACATTTTTAACAGACATACCTAAATGTACCTCTTAGCTATAAGTATTTTAACAGTACTTTTTCCTCAATAAAAAAGACGGTCTCATGATGAAGTTTAATCACAAAACACCTCTGACATACTCTATTAAAAATTACAGAGCAGTGGTAACCGTTTAAGCCTCTCTCTTGTAATAGATCCTTTCCACTTGAATCTTCTACATAAATCTCCAGTCCCCCTCCCACAAATACACACACTTACTTACTGTGCACACTCAGACAGGTTCTGCCTCGTCTCACTCCATTTTATCACTGAACACTTCATAAATTTACTCCTGAAATTCTCAAAATGCAAAGCGTAAAATAAATATTTCAAAAACTGTAAAACTGGTCCAAATAAGAGTATAAGATAAGAATGTAAGATGTAGAAAAAAAGGGGAACGCCCTGGTTGGGTGTTCGACACCCTATTACACCAGAAAGATACAAATATCTCCCAGTATCATTTTCTATGTAGGTGGCTGGTATTCTTAGTCCAGTTGTGTGCACTATTTCATTTGCCTCAAGAGAGGGGGCCATAAATCTCAAACAGAAAAGTCCAATTGGAGGAGTTTTTCCTCTAAAAATACTCTTGGTTTCCCTTTACAGGGGTGAGAGGGCTTCACGTGTGGTCTCTCACCTAAAAGAAAAGAGTTAATATCACAGCTGGAAGATGGCAAACCTTGTGGTAGAAGCCGAAACAGAAACATGATCTCACTTACCTCTCAAACTGAAGAGATACATTTTAGCTAACAGCTTTTGAAGGGTGACATAACCTGTAAAAGTGATCTTGCATCTTTATAAAGTCAGCCATCGAGAGTGTTTGCCTGCAGTCAGACCTCCTTTGCTCGCTTTCTTTTGAGAATCCCCCCCCACCAGCGTCTCCTCATATCCAGTCCAGTATCATAAGTGGTGGTCGGACCACAATGTTTTCTCAGGGTGGTTGGTTACACTGTTCTCCTCCCGCGGTTGCTAGACCATGCAGGGGAAGAAGCTTGTTCAACATGTTTCCCGTTTGAAGGAAAAAAAAAAAAAAAGCCTGCTCCCTCTCTTCGTCTCCAATACCACCCAAGTGTTGGGGATCCTCCTACGTTAAGTGGAGGTGGGCAAAATGAATCTTATGACATCACATGATTTAGACGGCTTCAAATACTGGCTGCCAATGTGTGTCCAGTGCCCCAAAAAGCGACTCACCTCAAACAGTGGTGGTCCGCAATCTGGGATGAATTAAAAATATCCGACCAAAGAACTATAACTTTGTTCCACATGACTTCAGAGAGGTATGGGCATTTATAGACACAAGAAAAAGACGGTACCTCAAGGGATGTAGTCTAAACCTCATTACTGCTGCTGTTGTTGGCTTATTTTTTAAGAGTTTGACTGTTATAGAGGATCTCTCCTCTTGACTCCTTGATTTAATTACTGCAGTTTCTTAGCATGGAAAGTCTTAAACAAGTAGTGAAACTGGATATTATACATCACCACGGATTCTTCATAGGGTTATGCAACTGGATATGCTACCCTTGTATAACTAATTATCATGAACACTCATTTGGCAGGTAAGAGCTATGGAGGCAATAACAGGATTTCAGTGACGTGCCAACGACTTGTGAAGCTAAAGAAACTGTGGCTAAAGATGGTTAGCTTTGTCTCAGTTTTCTGCAATCTCATTCTCCTAAAAAGGTCCTGGACAGTGATTTTAATCCTTACCCCATAACCCTAACCCTAACCCCAATACCCCAGTGTTACCCCAACTTAACCCTATCAATTGATTTTTTTTTTTTTTTTTTTTTACATTTTTCCAAATTTTTTGTACCAATTGACTCCAAATGGTCAGAAACATGCTCCTAAAAAGGTCCTGGACAGTAATTTTAATCCTAACCCTTACCCTAACCCTAACCCAAATACTCCAATGTTACCCCAACTTAACCCTAACAATTGAATATTTTTTGACATTTTTCCATATTTTTTGTACCAATTGACTCCAAATGGTCAGAAACGTGCTCCTAAAAAGGTCCTGAACAGTCATTTTAACCCTAACCCCAAAAACCCTTACTCTAACCCTAACCCCCTAACCCCAATAGCCCAATGTTGCCCCAACTTAACCCTAACACTTAAACATTTTGTGACATTTTTCCTAACCCTTCCCCTTAGTGTAACCATAACTCTAGCCCTAAACATTGTCCATTGTCCTATCCATTGTTCAATTTTGGTTTCTGAAAATGTAAGCAAATTAGTGCATATTTAATTAGATACTGCCTAATTTACACATACATACATAGCATTTGACAAAACTTGTAATACAAAAAACATTTGTCTTAATGTAAGTTATAAACTTGGGAAGTTTCATGGTGATATCTGTTAGTTGGAATTTTATCCTATTCACCTGGGGTGTCTTCCCTTGGCTTCCTACCTATCATGAACGCCATCTTGAAAATGGCACCTTTCTATTGGTCAAGCTTTGGTAAACTTTTAGTATGTTATTAACGACATCTAATACTGTAAAAAAAAAAACAGCTGAGAAATCTTTTGCTAGAATTTTGTTGGGGTCAAGTCATATTTGCACCTGACTATCAGTGTACCGCTCCCCAAAGCAGATAGTGCAAGCATAAGTAGCCTTACACACAGCACTGGGGCTACAATGAAGGATCTTGGTTCTCTTCCACACCTCAGTGATACAGGCTATGAAGCGATGCAGACATTAAAGATACACCCCTCCTCCTCGATCCAATCTGTCACTGTGGTTATTACAGTCTTGGCCACAATGGGACTGACCTTCACCAAAACTCAATGGATCTGTGTGACACACACATACCAATCCATCTAGGAAATCACCAGGCTTTGCTATTAGCAAGCTCACAGAGCGGATCACCTCTCTATTTCATGCAAAAAATGCTCCCCGTGGAGCAGAAATGCCACTAATACTAAATTTGTGGCTCTCTGTGTATTAACAATAAGATCAGAAATATGTCAACATATGTTTGTAATTCTTGCAAGGGACAGGCTCTGATAGTTTTTGACTACAAATGAAATTGGATGATTTGACCAATTCAAGGTGGACATTCGCCCACAAAATCAAATGATTACTTTAGTCTTCCAATTAGCCTGTCAATTTCTTAACTACTTTGACACTTTTCAATATCACATGCTCTTTGGAATAATACAATAGCTGCCCATGCTCATAAGTGAAGAGGTGCTGAATGCATTTGTTTGTAGGCCTTGTTTGCATGCTTCCTCCTGCATGCTGTGTGTGTCTCTGCTCCGTTCTCTGTCACACTGAAAGTCCAAACAGTCCAGACAATATGCTCTGTTTGCATGTTGGCAAATACCAATACTTGTAAAAAATTCCCTTCAGCATCTCATAGGGATGTGAGTTCTGTTTATGTTTATTGCAGACAGATACCTGATGTGAGAGACAGCTATGCCGCTTTTGATTGGCCATGGTGTGCAGACAGTCGACAGGGAGATTCACACTAGTGCACAATGACTGATAATATAAAGGGTCCGGAATAAGAAAATTTGAAAATGCAGGGAGGCAGAAGAATATCTGCAGAAAAAAAGACCATCACACACTATAAGTAATGACTCAAGGACACTCCCCTTTTCCTTTTTGGTCCAGAGCATTTTAGTTAAATACGTCATGCCTTACTTACTTGTAATAGTAAGAGTAGTAAGTAGTATGTTGGTCTGTGTCAGTTACCTTTTCTTTACATGTTTTAGCAACAGGAGTTTATTTTTCAGATGTTGCTATTGTATGATTTGCACTTATATAAGTTCTCAGTTTGAAATTCTGGTACTATAACAATCCTGAAAGCAACAGAAGCATTTGAAACATCTATCCAGGAATTTAAAGGACGTTACAGCCTTATTTAAAGACGAACTCTGCTGATACTCTCCCAGGTAGCTGGAGACTTAAACAACCAGTCTCTCAAATATTTGTATGTTGCCACTCATGCTAAAGCTTCCGCAGACCACTAACTCTAAGAGCTAAAGTCCACTTATCTTTTTCTTTGTCATGCCATCAACATTCAAGCCGCAGTAACCACCAGCAACTCCACTATCATCATAAAAGAGCCCTTTTCTATTTATTACTAAGAATGCCAGTGACCTCCGCACCACAGCTCAGGAGACAACAGTGGTTTCCTCTTCTTTGGACGGGGGAAGTCAATTAATTCATAAATACTTTAGCACATTTACAGTAAGGCGAGGGGAAGATGGCTATTGATTGATCCCACTAACACAGCAGCCCTCCCCCTCCCTGTATGTGGAGTTCCTAATGAACCGGGAGCTTTTCTTAACCAAGAATAATGCAATCAGAAAAGAGAAGAAAACATAATGATTTTCACCTGCAGTTAAGTGGGGATGGACTTGGAATATGAATTGGCTTGCTGTAAGGAGGATGTCAGGGGGCAGTAATTGGTATCCAATGCACATTAGTGTTAGTGGTATCTAAACAGCAAGAAGGGGGGTGTCCCGTAATGATTTAAAATGTGGGCTCATAAGGAGTTTTCTTTTCTGGGGTTGTAATTTTGAAGTAAACTGCATGGTGAATTTCTTTGCTTGAGTATTTTTTTGCTTATGAAACCATGATGGATGGGTGAAGATGGTGTGGAAGAGGAAAGAAAACCCTTGATGGGTTAGGATCCTCTGCTCTGACCTTTGAGGAAATTTGGTGAAACAGCAGAAAAAAGTGACCCCATTTTAACAGCACTCAGACGGTCACACCTATTGCGACCTAAAGGGACCCGAACATCACAGAACTCAGCATTTCACAGAAGTAATTTTCACTCTCCAGTCACAAACAAGAAGTGATAATGCAGAATCTGTAAAAGACGATCTTTGAAAGCAAAGAAAAAGCTTTTCTTCATCTTACCTCTGTCCGTAGGAAAACAAGCGCCATATTTCATTGCTGCCTGACAGGGAAACTTGTAATTGAATGGATTAATCTTTTAGCTCAGCAGTAGAGGAGAAACCTTTTCCATTGGAAACAGCTCTCCCTATCAGGAAAGTCCATGCTCATCTGACTTTTACTCCTACTTAGGGTTATGAATTACCGGCAGCCCATCAGCCAAGCAATATCTCAATAGAATAAAATATGAATGCACTTTGGAGCCGAATTTATCCCCTTTAAAAAGCCATGCAGATAAACTGATGTGTGAAACACTTCTAAGGCTGACTAATGTGGGAAATATTGAGCTAAGTAATTGCAGTTGTTTCATCAATAAGCTGGCTAAAGTAGATCATTACAGGCAAATGTGATTAACACGCAAGTTGTGGGGTAGTGAGAGGTGGAGGGGCATGTTGGGAAATGGAATAAAACAAGTGTAATATATAATTTACACAACACAGATTACTGTTGATTAAAAGATGATAAGAGGATACTGATCAACACGCCAGACAGAAAGTGAGTTTAGATTCTTTAATGCAGCTGGAGGAAAAAAAAAAAAAAACTCGCCATGAGTCGTCTTTGTAACTTGTAAGATTCACTTTTACTAGACCAAATAAGGAAATCAATGGAAGTTAACAGTAATGCATCAAGCTGTGCAATAAACAATAAAATAATAAAAAAAAAAGATTCAAATTAGAATTAAGAGTATTTTTTTTTCCAGCCCCATTTTTTGATTGTGCAAAAGTGAATGCACTTCAAACCTGCCCATGCACCATTGGACCCCATAACAAACACAACAGCGCAAGTACATAGTCATGTTACCTTATTATGAATTAAAAATATATGCCATGGCTGTCTGCCAGATAACGTACAGCATTTATTGCTCAAAATAATCTCAAGCTAAAATGGATTCATATCAAGCTGATAAATGCCCCACATGTGAAATAAACATAAATAACTTGTGTCTGAAAATCGTGCCAAAGTAAAGTCGCTTTCTTCGGGCAAAGTAAAGCTCTGATATTTTAAAAATAAAGCGTACATTTAGGAGTGTTTGGATTTTGCTTTCTCAAACTTCTTAAACTTTTATTAGAAGAATGTATGTGTAGCAAGGAGGACATTGTCTGTAATATTATAACAAAATCATGCTAGAACCTGAATAAGAAACAAACATAAAGAAAAGAAATAAAAGCACATTTGTGTATGTGTAGATTTCACACACATTTTTCAAGGAAAAGATTCCCAAACAGAGAAAGACATGTCCAATGATAGCTTATCTTGTAGGTGTATGTGTGTATGTGTGTGTAATTGTATGTATAGACAGGCTGCAGCTATATGTTCTCCTCAGGGCCCCCCGAGCAATCAGTCCGTCAACAGAGGTGGAGCCCGGCTAATTTCCCACCCCCTCCTTCCCTCCCCTCACTCATTCCTAAGACGGATGCTTTGGGTAATAAGGCTAATCAATACACTTCCTCAAAGTCCTCCCCACCCGCCCAGTCCCAAGACGTTATCGGCCGTTTGTCATCAGAAACGCCACTTGTTCTTATCAGGCATCACAATCTTGTTTGAATGGTGGCGGTACTGCACGCTGTTCATATGTGTATGAAAATAAACAAAAGCCGGGTAAGTTTGCTTATTTAAAAGGAATAGACATGTAGATGTCTTAAAACACACATATTTTTAACCATATAAGACTATCAAATGCTATCAGACACACCTGCTACCTACAGCACAGTGCACACAAAACCATGTCTACCCACACACACACACACACCACCCAGGCAGTGATGAATAGACACATGGGGGCTCTTTGACAGGTTACACATGCACCACACTGTCAGGATCTATACGGAGAAATTAATCAACAATGACACAGTGGCTCCCCTCACACAGCGCACAGCTCAACATGCTGTAATTTGCCCTGTTTGATTACCCCAGGGTGCTGGGGGGAGAATGGCACCCCCATCTTAATTAATTAAGCATTGTGCCAGCAGGGAGGTGTCTCAGGAGCGTAATACAGAGGCGCAGTCACAATGTCTTTACCTGAAGTCACCTTTTTGTGCAGGACTCTTCAAGTGCCATTACCAAATCTAGAATATGTTGAGGATGGAAATTCAAGGATGATTTTTTGCCAGAAAACAGGAGTATATTTTAAATGAAGCATCACTTTGTCCACAGGGGGCGCCAAAATCAACACTTCCAGAAAGATTTTACCAACATTTTTTTATTTGCAGCTAAAATGCAATATTATATCATATTTGAATTCAGCATATCAGTAAAAAGGAGAACTAAAAAGAAATCATGATGTGGGTAAAATAAATGACTTATTATTTTTATAATTTTTTTAAAAAAGTAATATGAATTATATTTATTTTTAATTGCTACTTGGCTAAATTAAGGAGCCCTCAGAGTCAAATATGATGAAAATAAAATTATCCTTGTCATACCTGTGTAAGAAAACGTCATGTCATTTTTTTAAATGTTTTGTCAGAAACCTTTCATTCAAGCATCTTTAAACAGCCACAAAATGACGGTCACACCAGCATCATAGCCAGTACAAACACTGTCCAGGGAAGAGGGAAAAGGAAGGCGACGCCTGAACTTTGTGTGGAGTTGGCTGAGTTTCAGATGGAGGTTGGTTAGATTTCATTTTGGCAGGTTAAGGTGAAAATTGGCCCTCGCTTTGATTTTTTTTAATCCCACGAGGCATGTATGCTGATTAGCTGTGGGGGTGGTTTATTCCCAAGAGGAGAGAGCAAGAGATGAGAGCAGGTTGACAGGACACCATGTGACACCATTGTTTGCCTTCAATAATGACCAGGGGACTCCAGATGATATGGGAGCCTTTGATGGATGACTAATTTATCAGTAGCTGTCATGGCCTAATGATGGTTAATGATGCCACTGGTGGCTTGTCCGGGGTTAACCATCAAAGGGGAGGTGATGTGTATACTAGCCAAAGATTACAGCTCCTTGTTAGTTTATTGACTCCATGATTTGACTGGAAAACTTAAAAATTTAAAGTAATATAACCCGGAAAACATTTTTGTACACTTCGAGAATATGTAGTTCTGCTGCATGGCTTCAAAATAAAGTGATTTATTATATTGCACGACTAAAGTCCAGACTGATTGTATGGTCAAACATTAATCGACAACATTACTTTCAGGATATGTTTATATTTGAACCTGTATTACCCCTGTATGTAGGAATCTACAGTAACTGTATATCTGTTGACAAGTTCATTTTAATACAAAACAACAATACAGCCATTACTGTCTGTCATTGTAGGAGACTCAGGCCAGAGAGCATGTAAGGTTTTAAGAAACCGAAAACAAAGGCTGCTTGATGTCTCTGTGGTGTAGATACCATACCTTTCATCATACAGTTATTCCAAGGCCTCTGTCTCATTGTTCTTTTAGCTATTCCTCGCTGCTTGTGGACCCCACTGGAAAACAGGTGAGGCAAAACAATCACGCAACCTCCCATCACTCTCTCCACATTGAACAATAACACTCTGACTGTATCTTTCAGTAGTAAACACAAAGCTCACATGCAGACCTCAGCTGAACGTCGCTCCGGAAACAAATACATTGTCGGGGACAGAGTGGGGAAATAAAAGACAGAGGCCAGAACCTATTGGAAATCGGAAAACAGCCCTTTCGTCCCTTTGAAAGAGTCCTGGCGATGAAAATATGTAATATAAATAAAGCTGTGGACGCTTTGAAAGCCAAAGCCTTCCTTCCTGGCCGGGTCCTCTGCGGGGTGAAACGCCCACTTCTGGGCCCTTGCTCTTAAATTCCCAAAGACCACTCTGTCATCAGAGTCCCAACTGCTGCTTTCAAACACGCGATGGCCAAACTCACTTCCCAGTCATGCTCTCTCTATCTGCCCAGATCTGAGTCCCTTTCGACCCCTTAGCCCTTTCAAGTCCAACCCCCCCTCCAGGACAGGATCTCTCCTCATAGTTCTGTCGGCTTAAATACCACCACACAAGCTCCAATTATTTTACCCCTGAAGTGTTAGTGCCGAGTGACCGTCATGGCTGCAATCTCTCCATTGGTGCTTCCGATTCTGGAACCTGACAGGCGGATGCAAGGAGAGATGTAGTGATAGATGACTGGCTAATGGGTGACAACTATAAAACAGCTCATTAAAGCAAAAAATCACAGTAGAGGTCCGACTGAAACTGACTCCTGCTCCTGATGGTAGCACACTGTTACGTAGTGTAACTGTAGTAAGAGGGAGCTTTTATGTTTGCAAAAGGAAACGCCTGCTGTGATAAAAGTGTGTTTCTGGGGTTCAGTGTAGAGTAATGTTTGTCTACTTTGGCTAAATCAATAAACTCAAGAGCGTCATAATCACAAACTTCGGTAGAGGACTTAAGGTGCAGTGGACACTGTATGACTGGCAACATATCTCTGAAGAGCACAGGAAATAAAGCACCAGACTCTTTATAGTCAACTACCAATACAATGCCAAAGTACCATTCCTAATAGAATTGATTTATGTTTTTACTCACACTTTTTAAAAAATCTACTTCAGACTAAATGTGATGTTTGTCACATTCAAGTAAAAAAACTTAAAATAGCTTTTTTAAAGGACTGTGTTTGTAGTGTGAGAATTACAAGGGGGCATTAGGGCCACATTAAAAAAAGAACAAATTTTAGACCTCGGAATTACTTAGAAGAATAAAGTTGTGATAAAGTAATTTCTTATGAGAATAAAGTCGTGGTAAAATCATTACTTATGACAACAAAGTTGCAATAAAATCATTACGAGAATAAAGTCATAGCTAATAGCTATTCTAACCTGTTGTTAGGACTTTATTCTCATAAGTAATGACTTTAATACGACTTAATTCTGGTGAGTAATTACAAAGTCATAATTTTTTTTCTTAATGTGGCTAATACTCCATCGTAGAAAATGAATCTGTTTATTTTATTTATTTTTTAAAATTTTTTAATGAAGATTCGCCTCTGGGAGTGATAGTGAATTTTAGGGCTCCCTTTTTTTCAGCAGGCATTTACAGCAACTTAAAACAAAGAATTAGGTTGGTGCAGAAAATTGGATTCATAGTTTTACTTGCATGCAGATGTGTGGTAAGAGGCATTAATAAAAGCAACAGTAAATCACCTGTTTATCACCTCCTTTGGGTTTAGGACTGTGTGAGGGGGATTGGGTTGTGCCTTCTTTGCTCACCACATAGACTCATTCTGCATTAAGCCAAAATCAGCTTAAAAAACAGTGAATGATACTGCGTGTAATAAAAAACAACATTAGTTTTGCGCAGTCTTAGAGGTTGCCATCAGTTGCTTAACTGTTTATTGGATTGAAATAGATTCAAATGTGATGCTGCAATTCTTCAGTATTCAAGTGTGGTATGATTTGTGTTCTGTTATTGCTTTCCAACCTTTCCACAGCGTAACATCTGGTGATAGAGACAAAAAGAAACTCATAATCAACTACAAAAACCTTGAAAAAAAGCCCTCTAGAAAGCAAACAACACAGTTTTAAATAAATTAAAATACAATGTCTTTGCAAAAGCTCTGTGAAAAAGATACCTGTACATGTAGACACCATACGGGGCCACTTCAAGCTGCATCATGTTGAGAAGCACCTTTTTACAGTCCTGCCTGTTCACTACACAGCACAACATCCAAGATACAGGAGGGCTTGTCTTGCAACATTTCCCCAAAAAAACTGTTGGGTCATACATCAAATTCAGCTCAGGACACAAACTGGACCATGCAGTGACCCTCACTGGAAGGGTCTCTAATGACTCCTACCATCTTGGCTCAAACAGAGCAGTAGTTTCCACTAAAGAAGGGCTGTTTTGCACTATCTGCTGAGCTTGTGGAGTGTACGGGTCAGGGTGAGAGACCTGCTGGTCAGCCCACCGCTCAGCCCCGTGATGAACTCCAGTTAATCGTAACTGACTCCATGTTCTATCTTTTCAGTTTTTCTGGTCATTTCATCAAAGTTTTTTTTTTTCTTTCCCCCTTTAATTTTTGCTGTGTCTAACTCAGAGGTGGTCTGGAAGTAGAGGTTTAAAACCTCAGACCACAAACCTGGACGATGCAGGGTCAAGTAATAATTTTTGTCCACATAGTATTTCAGGAGAAGGGGCAGCTCACTATATGTTACACTATATTCATTACATGCAGAGATTTTTTTAATGTCAGGTACTGAACTTATTCTGCAAAAAAAAAAAACCCTTTTTTATTTTTAAATGTCACTGCAGTAAAATTATTTAAGTGACATATTTTATTTTTGACCACATGATCCAAATTCCAGATCATACTTTCTTCTGGGTGAACCCTTTGCTTGCTCAAGTTTCCAAAGTTTTGTTTTGGCATGAAAAGTATTAGAGTTGACATGTAGGATTTATGATCAATCTGCAATTAATAGCTGTGTTGATAACTTCAATTTATAGTATCTGCAATTTTCATTAACCTTTATAATTCAGTTGTCCGTGAATGAGAAGAAGCTGGTTTGTCAAACAGACCAAGAGAAACAGAAAAAAATAAAATAACTAGAAAGTCCTTTATGGCTTCCTGCAAGAAGAGACCATTAAGGTTGAGCACATTGTCTGGGGGTCTGTCTGAAAATGTGTGAGGAAACGCATAATCAAGCGAAAGAGGGGGAAAAAAGCTTCGTGAGAAACAGACGTAAATAATGGACCAGGAAACAGGAGATCAAAGCTTCTGAGTCGGGCCTCCGTTTGTTTTCATACTCACCCAGGCCTCGCAATAAAACACGCAAGAGTTGCACTTCAGAGGGAGGGGGGGCGACATAAGGGAAGTGCTGAAAACAGTTACATCCCATCCTGAGGATCCCGTGCCACTATCCCCATGTTAGGGAAAGGCGTCAGGTACTGCAGTGTTTACCCGGAAAAGGGACAAGTCGCACAAAAACTTTCACATCAGAGGGGACTCTGTGGCGAGGAGCCATCTTGTTAAACACAGACAGACTGTGTGTGTTTATAAAAAAAAAAAAAAAAAGCTTTCCTTATCTCATAATGTGACTATAGGTACAAAACACAATGAGTACTTTAAATGGCACAGAGACATCAAACTTAAAACTCAGGATGGCAGCATTTTTGTCGGTTTGTGTGCTTTTAAGTTGGCAAGCTGGCGTCATCGGGTTTCTAAGAATTAGCACAGGATGAGTTTACAGCCAAGACAACACAATACACAACAAACCGTGACAAACTCAAAGGAAACCACAAACCACAGCTTAAAAGATTTTACTGCTCTCCGTTTTTGTGTTTCAGGCACTGTAAAAGAAAAACGCATAAAGTTTAAACAGTGCTGGATGTAAAATATATCTGATTTGAATTAACATATATGTAGAAGTTTTTTTTTGTCGTTTTGTTTGCAACTCAGTTTCATAAAAAAAAAAAAAAAACATTTGAAGAACTTATTATTGCTTGCTGGCAGTAATTTTCCAGTTTGTTCAAGTTCAACCTGAGGTTTTGGCAATTAACTTACTTTTTTTATAGTAAAATTCACTTTTTATGTAAGAGGGTGGCTTTATGGAAAAACCATAGCACTTGTGTTACGGTGTGTGTGTGTGTGTGTGTGTGTGTGTGTGTGTGTGTGTGTGTGTGTGTGTGTGTGAGTGAGTGTGTTTTATGTAAAGCAGCAATGAGGCAGCTATGAACATTTCATAATCCTCCACTAAGTATAACAAGCAGTTCATCTTTTTGGAGGTCAAATGCTAAACATGAGCATCCTTGCTGGTTGGTCAGCAGATAATTCCCTCGATGTCTCTCTTACATTTCTGCATGAACTCTCTCTCTTTCTCTATTTTTAAGTGATTCCTAAGCTTGGCTAGAAAATGGATGATAAATGCTAATTATAGTGAATGCATACTTGCATTATTATGAAATAAATTAGAGCAAAAAATCAGGGGTAGGAATGGTGAAAATAGTTGATGGAATTAAAAATGCAAATTTTTACAGCAACCAATGAAGAAGTAAGGGCCTATGTCCCCTGACATCGTTCTTTGTGCTCACAGTGCTCAGCTGATTTTGTCACTGCATGTTGCTTTTCTCATTTGAAAGAAATTAAACTTTTGTAAAACTGCTGTTCTTGTCAATGTCACAGACATCACCAGTCAATATAAATGAAGAAAGGATGAGACATCCCATGAAAAATCTTTGGAAAAACTACCTTCATTTTTCTGAGGGTACAGTTTCCAGGTTCATAGCTGCTGCTATTGCTAACAAAACATCCATCCCCACTTTTAATGTTATATTGAAAAATGTAATTAAATAAGTGCAACTATGGAGCATACACCCAAACCCAATGTTTAAAAAGTGACAACATTTCAGTCAGTTAAAGGAGTATTCCGGCGTAAAATTAAGTCGGGGACAAACACACCATAACACAGAGTTAGACACCGCGTCAAAGTCTCGGGACAAACAAGCGGCTGCTGGAAGAGAGTAGGTGAGTTGTGTTTAGTCTCTTTGCCAAAGAAATAAGGCAAAGCTAAAAAGATGTTTGGAGGCTGGTGCTATGACTGGGACCCTGTATGTACTGTTGATGAAGTGAGGTGCTATTCTGAGTATTATTTGTGGCTATAGAGTGGTGTTTTGGTTGGGCGTGTGGCTCCTGAGATCGCTGTGTATTGATATCATGCGGTCGTTACTAAAGTTGGTATAACAGAGGAGCAAGCAGTCGCCAACATTAATTTCTCGATGGGTGTTACGGTATGTTTGACCCTAACTTAATTTTACACTAGAATATCCCTTTAAGGTTGACTTTTGGCCAAACATAAGGAATGAATTTTAGTTTTACGGGTAAAAGTCAAGACGAATTCAAAATCACCCTTTCTGATCTCTCTGGAGGATTTATAGTGACCACAAGGATCCACTTTGACTTCCTTTTAAGTGTTTCTATGGTGCAGAAATCTAAAATCAACTTATATCAACCTCCATAAATTGCAGTGTCAAGTAATTGTGATCATGTCAAGTATTTATGTAACACCACACTGATTTCCACGCATAGATGGCCTGATGTCTCTCCCATTGGCAGTATGTGTTTATGTTCATCTTTTCCTTAATGATACAGCGTCACAGTGAGGTCATAAACCAATGTCCAGTAAATGTCTTTGCTCTGAATTCTGTTTGTCTGAGTATGACCTCCAGAATCAATAGCATTTTGGCCTTTACTTGACTCTGACCTCAGTCTTTTAATAGTGTTTTGATATGCAGGCAAATTAATTCACCTTAATGGAGTACCGGGGGTCAATGGACTTTGATCCCATTTGGACTAAAGGCTGGAAGAATTCCATTTAGCATGCTCAGGTCTTGAAAGGTTTAGTGTATGGGGGGGTTGAGTGTGTATGTGTGGGTTTGCAGAAGTCAAATTGTGCGGGCCAAGCTCACTTTTCTTCCCAGGATCCCTGAACGATCCCCTTGGGTTCAATCCACAGAAACTAATTGCTATATTATGCACAATTTCAAGATTGAAGCTGTAACACAGATTAATTATTTTGCCATTACCATGACATCCGGTTATACAAATGTGTAAATATCCATCTTAAGCAGCTGAATCACTCTCCCTCAACTGCTTCTATCAAACGCTGCAAATAAGCAATACAAGCTCAGCAGTCGAGCAAGATGGATTTTGTTGGGAACCAATTGGCATCCAAATAAATTCAAGTTTGGAGAAGCTTTTCAGACTGTGCAGTGAATCTAGCTCACTGCACCATCCAGTCCATTCGTATTGATTCCAATCTCTCAGGCTTTTCCAATAAAGCTGGGTTCATGAGTTCATTATTACAAGAATGGAGGTGTAATTGGCTTTCGGGCGTATAAGAGGCTATTTGCACTAATCTATCTGGTGGGGAGATCTTAATGGCCACTTTGAATGGCACAGTATGAGCCAACTTTGCTCCATGATCCTGTAGTTTTGGTTCTATCATGTCAGTCAATAAGCACATTAAACAGACAAACAGCAAAACCAAGGGTTTACTTACATGTGAGGAGGGAGCAGAGGCATTTTAAACAGGAAAAAGTGTCATTACTAAATGTACAGCCTGCAAATGACCGAATGAAAACATCTGAATTGCAGCTGAGTGACAATAAACAGGCTCTCTATGGATCACTGTGCACCACATTAGCCACATTAGCCTTGCTCTTTCGGCTAAACGTCTAGAGATGAGTTGTGAAGTTGTGCTATATAAATGAAGACTGATTGATTGATTGATTGATGAAAAAAGTACTGCTTTATTCGCAACAAAAAAAGTCAACGATAGCTTTGCAGTGACAAAGGTAAACAGTAATGGTTTAATTGTAACGCTTTCTGTAGGAGATCTGAGCACCTCGCCATGACAGGAGCTCGTCATTGAGGGAGTAAGGTAAAACATCCAAACTGAAAACTTTGAAGAAAAACAGTGTTAGAAAAATGTTTCTTGAATAACAAGAGGCAGACACCAAAGTTCAGGATATGTAAGAGGTCATTTAATTCTTGCAGGAATGGAGCACAAATAAAGCATCAAGTAGATACACAGAAGTGGTCCTCGAGTCTGGGGTTTCAGAGTCTTTTATCCTCATCTTCTTGAATCTTTATCATCATTTCCAAATATCGTCAACAGATGATTTAAACAAGTAACACTTGCCCTTGTACTTTTTATTCTTCATGCGTCTGCTGACCTTGTATAGTTTAAAGATCACACTGACCTTAACCTTCACAGTATCTTCATTTTACAACCTCTATGCACATCTTGGAGAGCAATTTTTCATCAAAAAAGATCTTTGAAAAAGTTTTTTTTTCTAGATAATTATAATCCGAGCAGAAGAAGGAGAAGGTTAAATAATGCTGTTTTCTTAAATGTAGTTTTTTCTTTTAATGGTCCCTACAGATAAAGTCAAATTTTCTGTCTGAATATGCGCTTCTCATAAGTTTACTTCAATTTTTACAATGCCACATTTAAGCGATGCTCAGGAAAGCTCTTTGTCTTTCAGATATGTAATTACAGATATTAATTTGTAGTAGCTACTCATGCTCCCAGGAGGATGATAAGTACTCTTGTTGGTGACAGCTGACTTACCCTTGGGTGCCAAAGTCAAACTGTAAAAGCTATTTGAACACATTATTATTGTTTTTTTCACTGTGCTTCTTAGCTCCCTTCCCTCCTGTTGATCTCTTTGTCTGTATTGTAGCACTTTAAAAAGGTTATGTAATCATAGTAATTTTTTCATGTGTTGTTGTTGTTGTTGTGTACTTATCTCTATATTTGAATACCTTTAGCTGAGCGTCAGTCTTTTGGGGTTTGATTCTGAATGCAACTGTAATCACAGCTATTGAATAAGAAACCTACCAGATCAGACCAGGTGTGATCATACTGTGCTCTGATCTCCTTCAGTTGTATGTGCTCCTCTGTAGTGGTTGCAGTAGCCAGATCAGCCAGGTTATTGCCCGTTGTTGAAGTAATTATGATAATGCTCACGTTGCAGACAGGAGTGACTCATATCTCATTTTCTTCTCCAATATGACTTTTTTTGCGACACAAAAACATACAAAACATGACATAGAAATAAAATAAAAACACACAAAAAATGAAGTGTACAACTAAGCCTATCACAAAATCTGTGTATAATTTGTTCAGTCAGGAGACCTAAAATTACATAGCTGACTCTTTTTTTGGTGTTTCTTAAAAAAAGTTAAAAGGAGAAAATGACTCACTCGACAGACAATCAAAATATGTTTCTCCTTTCCCATCTTAGGCAACGCCAGAGACGACTTTATCAGACAAGTCATATCAGATCAATCCACAGAGCTGAGCTCTGGCACATTTCACAACTTCTTGTCTAAAGCAAGACAAAACTGTATGCAGATATAGAGCAGGTATACAGTTTGTATGTTGTTATAAAGATAATTTTACCTGTTAAAAAAGCCACTTTAGGATCCATGGCTGCAAATAGATACAAAACAGAGGAAACAAAATCAAACTCGGTGTCAGAGTACAGGACACAGGAAATCCACTTGAACAAAAATTGAAAGTATATAGCTTGAAAATAATCAATTTTTATGTACTAAGTTACAAGAAATATAAATATACCTCATCTGGTGAGTGGCTCCTTAGTGCAGTGTGCACTTTAACTGAGGATTAAATAGCTTTCACTGAATGTAAATTAAGTACGCTCAGAAGTAAGAATGTATTGACTACAAGTTTTACTACCACTTCTCACTGAATTAAGAGAGTAAAACCCAAGGTCATGAAGAGACAACTTTATGTCTTTATATCTATATCTATTCCTTGAGCAAGAAAATAGTATTCAAGGATTATGGGTGAGTGTTTATCTCAATCAGTCCGTAAGACTCAGTCTGTTTCAATCATGTTGTTTTTATCTTGCTGGATATATGTTGAGTTCAGCCAAAGATCGCACTGATATCTGACCAGTTTGCTACAGCTTTGCCAGCTACCTGCTCGAGCAAGAACATTTATGATCATTTCTTCATGAAAATGCAATCAGACGCTAAGGCAGAAAAACTACCGCGTCTGCAGTGCAAAAGGATTAATATGGTGATTATTACTTCAAGGAAATGATAAAGTAATGATCATAAATGTTCTTCCGTGAGCTGAGTCACCCCACTGTAGTCCGTAATGGACTGGGCTGAGGTCTCACTACAAACAAGCGGCTGATGGAAGAGAGTAGGTGAGTTGTGTTTAAAGATGTTTGGTGGCTAGTGCTGTGGCTGGGACGCTATATGTACTGTTGATGAAGTTAGGTGCTGTTCTGAGCATTATTTGTGGCTATAGAGTGGCTTTTTGGTTGAGGTTTGTGTGTGGCTCTTCAGACCCCTATGTATTGCTATCATGCGGAGTACTAAAGTTGGTGTAACTAGGGAAGCAAGCGGTCAGCAACATTCATCTCTTGAGGGGTTGTCTAATTGGTGTTATGGTGTGTTTGACCCTAAATTAATTTTACATCGAGATATCCCTTTAAGGGTTGACTCAGAGTTTGCTGACTCTCCTTTATGAAATGGGTCTTCAAGTCCTCATAATAATCTTGTTACTGGGTGTTGAAAGTGCGGCCACATGAGAAACAAAAATCAGACACATTCCTCCAGTGACGCTCGGTTTAAATTCTGCACAACATACTGAAATAATCAGGCGTGAAGTTTTACAGTGGTTGCATGTTAAGGTGTTGAGGTCTTACCAGAATGCCCGTTAGTCATACCTCTGATATTTGGCACTGACATAGTCCGACTCTAGACCTACCCATTTGTATAACACATAAGATTTATTCATAGTATTTCAAGAGAAAGACCGTCAGACAGCAGGTGTTAGTTAAAAAAGTCCAAACAACTGCTCCCTGTTAAATTCTTTCACCAGTGCGGGCACATTGTGGGCTCATGCGAAACAGATGCAAGCTCGCCAGCACTACTTTCCTTTCCGCTAACTGGCAAGATGGAGTCATCAAGAAAGTTTCCTGGCTTTTCAGCAGATGGGTAATTTTTTGGCTGCAGGAGGGCCAGCGGGTTACATGTTTAAAGCAGGGGGGGGAAGAGAAGGAGGAGGAGGAGGTGCAATGGATAGATGGATGAGAGCCGGTGGAGGGGGGCTCAGGCAGTTGTGGAGACTTCCTATGATGAAAAGGTCAGTGGCACCTGTAAATCTGAGCAGCTGGAAGGAGTACTGAAGCAAGGGAAGGAAGAGGACGGAGTTCAGCCACTACAGCAGAGCTATGCTGCCCCTGCTGCTTCGCCAGCACACACCACACACATGGTTATGGTATAACCCTGTTATTCAGAAGCATATGCTTAGTTTGGTTAAAAGTAGAAACTAGAATGCCTATTACACATGGAAAAAAAGGAGAAATGAAAATATGAAATGCAACATGTACATCAATTTTCCACGAGGGGACATTTTTAACTAATGATAATCTTCTCGGTCTATTATGGCATTACAAAATTACATTGTCATTTACTTTCCTTTTTAGAAATCTAGTGGAAAAAGACAAAGCACTCAAACCATTTAGTTCTCTGGAAAATTTGTAATAGGATAATTTCAAATTTCAAAAATTTGTACACTTAAAAAAACAGACAAATCACCTGACTCTAACCAGGAATCAGCCTGATCTCTAGAATTTCTCTGTGTGTGTCAGTGATCCAGCTTTGTGCTCTCATACATCATATGTTTTGGTTTTTCTCTTGTTTTCCACTCTGCTCTGAGACAAGTCCATAATTATTGTCCTCTCTTTCCTTCGGCAGTGTTCATCTGAGTGATACATTGACTTAACTCAGGACCAACGCAGCTGTCACCAATGTTTTTTGAAGATGCTCACAGTAAGTATGACCCATCTGATACTCTAACTCGCTAATAACCAAAGACTGAATGCTGAAGTCTATGGTCCATCTCCTCCTGCAGGAGCTGCACAGACACTGATAGTTCTTTCTCATGTTCGTATTAGTTTAAAATGGAGGTCAATGCTTTGGAAAAACAGAAAAGGAAAACGCTATTTAATTTCTGTAGCCTGGGATCCACCAAACCTCTCTTGGTGAAAATTTTCTGGTGATGTTTGGTTTTTTGTTCATCCTTTAATTATAATGCTTAACCCTGAAGAGGTTGTCACCCTAATTAACATACAAACAGACAACTGGACACACTTACGCTAACGGCAATTCAGAGGGAACAGCACTAACCACCGTACTACTGTGCAGCCCAGGTTTTGTTATGACTCTCTAAACCAAAATAAAATGAATGGTAGTGACTTTTTTGTTTTGTTTTTATAAAACCACTTCCCTGCTGTCAAACACAGAACATGCAACAGAAAAGTTGATATAATAATCCTGCCGCTTCGTTGAAACTGTCGATGTATATCAATCAGCACCTCATAAGTAGACCAGCAAAACACTTGATACGAATGCAAGTGCGGAAACATGTTGTAATCCAGCCGTATGTGTGTGTATGTTTGCTGCCAGGGTGGATTTACTGTCCACCCCTCTAGGGCAGTCGGGTGGCGGTCCAGGGCAAAAAGGCCCGGTCAAGGCTGCTTCCTCCTCCTGCAACCTAAAAGGATACAGCCTGCTGACAGATACCTGCTCTGAGCTGACAGAACACTTCCTCCTCTTAAATACATTCATGTTATGTTTAGCTGACACGCTGTATCCATACTGAGTTTAAAAATGCAGAGAGAGACGCTGTTGTGGCCCGAGTGAACCTGTGATACTTCTTACCTACAGTGGGAACAATTACGACAAGCCACGCAGGAATAACAAAAAAAAAATGGATCACTTTAAGAATAAGAAATTTTTCTAAAAGAATTATGGAACATAAATGGACAGTAAATTTTTGAGTAATTATTTACCAGATACAGCAGTGAGACATTAATAAAATCACACAATGCTCAATATGACACATTTTGCAATTCTGTCTGAATTTGATTTTTGACTGCAATTGTTTCCTGCAATGTTTCAGTTATTCTGTCTTTTAAATTTCCTACAACTTTTCAAAACAAATTGATAAAAATTTCACTTTTTTTATACTATTGGGAATTTTAGAATATATGTTTTTTTCCCTAAAAACTTGAGAAAAAAAAAACTTAAAAGCAAGGTCCTCTTGTACAGTTATGTCGAGCGTATGCAAGAAAACAACGTGCAAGATAAATACACAATGAAATCATAACATAGATAATTGATCAGTTACAAATAAAAACACCACTACATAAAGTTGAAAGAAAATCTGTTAAAACTGGTACAATCAGAAGAAAACAAAGATCTAAAATGAACATATGGAACAAATTCATTTATTTCAAAAGCACTTTGTAGTGAGCTACAAGCAGATGGTGCATAAAAGCCTAAACTCTGGGAACATGAAGTGTAAGCCAATCATTACAGCTCCAGAGGACCAAACTAACAAGCTAGAAATGAATGGAGGTGGTTGTAAACCTTTCAATATTTGCGACATTTTTGGAAGTAATGGTGAGATTTTTCAAGTTCATATTATTGGCTCTAGACAACATCATAAATCTAGTGTTCTCTGCATTAAAGACCAATTTTTGATTGGAGGGAGCAACTTATGATTCAGAAAATCATCAGACAGCAGACTGTATATTAGTAGCAGTGCAGTACAAAGTCATATCATCAGTATAAAGAACAATTTTATGAACAAGAACAGCTGAAAAACAACAAAAAAAATAACAGGTCCTAAGACTGAACCTTGTGGGACACCTTTTGTATTTCCAACAAAACCAGATCTTCTACCTCTTAAACCATTAATGTGCATTTTTATCTGAGCCAGTATTTTTCAGCTGTAAAATGTTATAAAATGTTAACCTGAGCATGGAACATCATGTGTGTACAGCCACTTCACTGGAGCCAGCTCCATACAATATTTCTAGCTTCTATAAATAATCCTATGGATTGTCCTCAATGCATTGACCCAGCAGTGGGCACATTCTTAAGATGCACCCCAGGACAATAGATCCTTTACATTTTCAGGTATCAGTTGCAAGGAAACAATCCCTGCTGACCTTTTTCTCTCTATGACACACAGCCCACCAACTATCGTACAGTTGTCTCTTATGATTATCTTTAGTGCATGCCTCCCCCTCCCCTTGCTCCTCATGTGTTTTATTCTTTGGTGGTTCAAACTACAAGCTCTTGGTAATGCAATCCCCCCACTGTGGACTTCGGTGTCATGAAGCTTTAGTCTGTCAAGAGAACTCTGGCCGCTGTCACAGGAGCATATTGTTATTTTGGAAGTAGCATATGTTTGTCTAACCAGGGCTCAGGTTTCATCTCCTTCAACTCCACTTGCTTCGGTTTGCAAAGGAGCCATGACTGATGGCCACCATATGACCCCCCCTACAAACAGCCCTCTGGTTCTTATTTATTAGGGACATAAGGAACAACAGGGCTGTGCAGGTGCTGGTAGGAGCAGTGAAATGGTCAGATTTCAGTTGTTTGAGTGAGACTAATCTTCAGTTGGAGCTGGCTTTATCCTATCAGCATGTCAATCTAATACAATTATAAAGACTGTTTTACTTTCTTTAAATGTATTTATTTTATGTAGGTCCAGTTATAAAGTTTTTAAACCTTGCTTGCAGAATTCTGGCATTTAGAACCATAAAGACACAAATTTCTAGATTTTTCCATCGTGCACTTTTGCCCCCCTGAGAAGAAAACCGTTTTCATGTGGTCAAGATGGAATCTTTACTCTCTAAATGAACGTGGATCTGCTGTGTTATGCTTCATTTGATAATTGATAGAGCGGGTTAATTGCCTTGATCAAAGGTCAGGTAGTTTTGTATTCTGAGGGCAGGCTGTCGGATTTGAATTGGACACGTTGAATGTTTATAAGATGGAAACCTAATGCAGTTGTGGGACTCTGGCCAATTAAGAACATTAAGAATGTTTTATTCCAATCGACAGTGATATCGGTTGCAGACATCCACATTAAGCCTGATGAATATTCATGAAATCTCCTCTCTGAGCCTATCTAGCGCATATTAATTTCAGAAATCCGTGTCTGGAGTCCAGAGACGTGATCACATTTCCCACCAGCATCAATCCTAATATGCAGATGAATGCTTGTTTCAACCCAGCGCAGGCCACTGAGGTACATTTGATATTTCATTCATGTGAACGACTGTGGAAAAAAAGGAAGGAAAAGGAAATGGCTAAAACAAACAAAAATACCCACAATGCCCCAGTGTGAACTCTCAGGAGGTTGTGCATAATTACCCTGCGGAGCACCTTACCTGCACACCTCTTGCCGCCTGTCAGCACTGCATACAGACTCGCTGGACCACAGGCGCACACACATACACACACACACACACACACATACTCCCTCTCTTTTCCTCTCACATACACAGTCACACAACCCTTTCTTCCCTCTTTCTCTCTCTCTCACACAAACACACACACACGCACCGACACATAGACCTGTGCATCAGCAAAGAGCATTGCGGCTCTGCGGCCGACCGCAGCGTTCACAGGGGAGAAATCTTCAGCTCATTTTTGACCCAGGCTGCCGGGGTGTTAATTGCCCTCCTGAGTTGGCAGAATTTTCAGGGTAAAAGGTGCTATCCTTGATGGATCAGCACTGTTGCCACCAGTGACTGATTCTTTCAACTTGAACGTGTACTGTGCATATCCTATATCTCATTAAAAGACCGCACTGGTTGGGGAGGGGAGGTTATTAGGTGGGCAAATGTGTGTTGATGGACCAATTCATTTGTAAATGTACACAAAGGCTTCTTTTTCATGCAACTAGGATGCACATGATGGGACAACTTTAAAATTTCAATGAGTTAAAGTGTTTTTTCAACAGTGATGGTTCATAGAAGCAAAAGATGTACCAACTTATTGTTTCAACCACTCTATTCTGAAGTAACCTCCGATTTTTGGGCTCTGATTTACGGTTATTTTCAGCCTTTTTTATTGCAAATACTTTAAGTGGTTCGCATTATCTGATATTAAAGGGCCTGGCACTCACGTACTGTGTTACAACTATGTATCCATAAAAAGTTTGATTGAACCAACTTTGAAAAATCCGCCCAAGGGGATCCAATTTTTCATGACTTTTGCACTACCAAAAACAAAATTCAGAACATGTCACGACTAAACTCCTCATACTGATTAACCTGGCTTTAAATGCGTAAACTAATAATGAAATATTTTTCAAGTCTGTTATTGATATGGAGCAAAATAATCAAAATAATTATTTGAAAGTTGTTCTGAATTGTAATAAGCTAGAAAACAAAAAATGAAGACGTTTAAAGCATCAGATTCTTCAGTTATGTATGAGCACTGCGCCACACACACACACACACACACACACACACACACACACACACACACACACACACACACACACACACACACACACACACACACACACACACACCATCACAAAAACACACAGGCTTTTTCCTTCCAGCAAAGCTCAAAGCCAGGTTTTAGTTTTATTCAGGTTAATCGATGCAAAATGTAAATGGAAACTTCTGTTCACATAATGAGTACGAGCTTCATTCCCTGTTCTTCTTTTATGGATTGAGACATAAGTGCCTATTTATGAAGGTGTTTCCAAAGGAAATCCACATTCTGGGCTAATTAGACTCAAAGTAATTCCTGCCTCCAGTTTATAGACATTTCAGTAATGCAGTGAGGTATATATTGTTGAATGTGACCTTGTAGTGTAGCAGCACAGCAGACTGACAGGATGAAGCTTTGGTAAAAACGTTAATTCACTAAAAAGGGAGCATGTGTACTGTATAAGAGAGTGTGTGTGTAAGTCAGTGAGTGCATGTTTCACTGTTTTCTATTGCAGAACAGAGAGAGTGAATCTGTAGCCAATCATTTAAAATATTAAGAAGCCACACTCTTAACTACGTACATTTGTCGACCTGTAATTATACTTTTATATGGCGCTGTGACTTTTTCCTACACATAGATAAATATATATTTCACTATCAGTTAGTGTGCACGTGTGTGTGCGCCAGGATGTAGTGTCAGATGAACCCATTCACACAGTGTGTTCATGTGCACACAACTGAAAAGGAAATCACTGAGCCCATGAAGAACTATAACCCCCCTCCCCACAACACACAGGAGTGCGCTCACACTCAGACACACACTTGCACACATGCAAAGTGTTCCCCAAGCCACACTGGAAACTACTCTAATAATAGTCAGCACATTACACAATCTGCCTGTCTTTGTCTGTCCGTTGCACAACACCGACCAGTTTCAATCTAAACTTTACTCATCCTTATTAATTATTTGAAAAATGTTTACAACTTATTGGCAATATTTATTTATGATTAGTTAACGTAAAGAGCTTGAACTCAGTAGGATTTGAAAATAATCACAGATATATTTATCAGCCTGTGTTACTGTCTACATCTGAGCTCCAAAAGTATTTTAAAGACAGCCTAAAGAGCTCACACATGCCTTACAAGTGGCTTTTCAGAATTGTACAATGCAACACTATAAAAACAGATGCTCTTATAGATACATTTGTACCACTGCAAAATCTACATACACAGAGCGAGAAAGAGAAAAATGCAAATCTGTCTGGATCAAAACACACCCACACACACACAGCTTTGACATAAGAATGGGCTCTATAACACCCTATTTTTCCTTTAGCCATTCAATTTTCTGTAAGAAAAACAGCACCTTCAAAACCATACATACATCAAACCAACCTTACATACGTCAACTAAATAATTGCTTCAATAAAAGCGCATCCGTTCAAGTTTGAGATTTACCATAAGTTTCACATTTCGTAGAATTCCACCGAAACCAACGAGAATATACCTGTATTTTAGTTGTAAATGAGACTGAAATCCAGCTGTAAAACATCCCAAATGTTTGCAGAAATTCTTTCCCAGGGCCAATGTCAAATATTAACCTTCCTTTTTTTCTTTCCCTTTTCTTTTTCCGCCTGAACCTCTTTTCTCAGTTTGACAGGAATCCCACCCTCATCCCTGTCGGGGTTTTTCTGAAAATGCAGAACTACTTGAAAATGGGATTAGCATTTAGATACCACTCAAATTTTTAAAAGATACCGAAGCTTAGATTACTTTGAAACAATTTCCCACTTTTTGATTGAATAGTCATTTTCAAGTTTAATACAATTTAGGGTTTTGTGTCATTTTTCACTTTGAGTTAATCTTGATTGAGGCCCACATTTAAAAGTAAAAGTGTCATCTTTGTTATTCATAGCATAGTTGAATGAAAATTGTACTCTAAGAGGAGAGTTGTTGAGTTCTTGTAAAATTAATAAAGCCATTGTGTTTCTGAATTTCTGAAACTGTACTGCGAAGATTTATAAACTAGGTGACGCACTGACTTAACACACAAAAAACGATGAAC